AAACTTAATGCTCAGGTCCTGGCCAGAGACTTCCAGTACTTCTATTGGCTCTGGAAGATCTTAAGACCTTCTATAGACTCTGGAAGACCTCAAGACCTTCTATTAGCTGTAGAAGACCACAAGGCCTTCTTTTGTTTCGAAACAACTCAATACTTTCTATTGGATGTAGAAGACCTTAAGGCCTTCTTTTGGCTTCATGAGGAGCTCAGGGCCTTCTTTTGGCTTCAGAAGACCTCAAGGCCTTCTATTGGCTATAGAAGACCTCAGGGCCTTTTTTGGCTTCAGAAGAACTCAAGGCTTTCTATTGGCTCTGGAAGACCTCAAGGACTTGTATTGACTGTGGAAGACTTCAAGGCCTCATACTGACTCTGATAGAGGTCAAGGCCTTGTAGTGGCTCTAGCAGACCTCAAGGCCATATATTCGCTCTGGAAGACCTCAAGGATTTATATTGGCTCGAGAAGACCTCAAGTTCATATATTGGCTCCAGAAGACCTCAAGCCTTATATTGGCTTTTGAAAATCTCAAGGCCTTCGTTTGGCTTCGGAAGATCTCAAGGCCTTCTCTCGACTCTAGAAGATATCTTTTGGCTCTGGAACACCTCAAAGCCTTCTACTGGATCTGAAAGTCCACATGGCCTTCTGTTGGTTCTAGAAGACCTCAAGGCCTGATTTTGGCTTCAGAACAACTCAAGGACTTCTATTTGCTCTGGAAGATCCCAAGGCCTTATACTGATTCTGGAAGACCTCAAGATCTTCTATTGACTCTGGAACACCTTCTATTCCATGTATTTATTTGACATTTTTTTTTCAGAACCTAGTTAGGACCTGGGTGTTTTTATTTTCTTAAGAAATTACATTTTTTTAGAAACAAAAATTATCCTCTGGTCCTAAGAATTTCAATAGCGATATGTTGAGATTCAGTACCTGAAGAAAAATTGAGGATTTTTCTATACTTCCCTTCAAAGAAAAAAGCTTACGGATTTTCTTCTATAGAATATAAATTTTAATAAGGATCTGGACCTAGATTATTTTCTTAAAAAAATTGACCCTCAAAACAGAGGACCTGAAATCTATCCAGAATAAAGTATCCTCAGAATAATGTATTCCTCCAGAAAAATGTATCCTCATGACCTAGGCACTTCTACAGGAAAAAGCGTCAGCTCATGAGTTTTTACTTCAAAACTCAAATGCTCAGGCCCTGACCTGAGGATTCTTCTGAAATAAAAAATCGATTTTCGGAATTTGAGTTGTTTTTTACAAATCAACTTTTTTTGAAGACCCAAGCATTTCCATAGAAATAAATCGATCATCAGGATCCAAGCAATTGTTTTTGAAATGGACAATTTATCTTCAGGACCTAAGGGATTTTTACTCTTAGAAAATTCGATTCACAGTAACTAAGGAATTTCTCCCAAAACCCCGTCGATTTTTAGCGTCTGAGGACTTTTCAATAATGAAACCGAAACGATAATCAGGTCTTGAGTTTTTTTTTTTTTCTCTAGAAAAATTGACCCTCAGAAGGTAGCCATAAAAATGAACTTCAAGGTAGGAGAATTTTAAGGACCTGACCTGAGGATATTTAAAAAAAGATCATTCATCCGTTTCTGAAGTCTATTTTTTTTGTTTTTTCAAAAGATAAAATTAGCCTCAGAACTCGAGGAATTGGAAATGTCAAGCGCCTGATATTTTTTTCTGCAAAGTTCTTCTTAAAAAGTTGTTCTATATTAATTATTTATCCTAAGGAACTGAGAGTTTTTCGCTTGAAAAGTAAGCCGCTAGAAGGACTAAAGGATATTCCCTAAAAAAAAATTCAGGATTTGAGATTTTATGCGAGAAAATATGGATTTTGAGAGCCCGATAAATTTTCCCTACAAAAAGGCGAATTAAGGACATGAGACTGTAGAATAAAAATAAAGGCCCTGAAGATCGATTTTTCCCAAAACTTCAGGTCTTAAATGTCGAATTTTGTATGAAAAAGAAAAAATCTCGCAGATATTGAGAAAATCTGCGGAAAAAAGACCTGATGTCCTGAGGGAAAATATCTATCAAAACAAGTAAATAAGCAGTTGATTTAGGCCTGTAGATCGATTACAATATTTATAAAAAATCAGGACCTGAAAGGTGTTTTTTTTTTCTTTAAAAAATCCTCAGGACAATTATGGTCTTAAAAAAAATCAGATACTACGGACAGATTTTTTCCTCTAGGTCCCCAAGATCGATTTTCACTTAGAAAATAAACATCATTTCCAACGGAAAAACTGCTCCTGGCCTAAGGATGCATTTTTAATTTTTCATGCCTGGGAAAGGTATAGTATCTGAAATTTATTTGCGATTTCAACAAACTTATGGTCACATTACCTTTATTTTCTCATATTCCCTCCCTTCTCATATCCCCTTTCCTCCTCCTTCTGCCTTCATTCTTTTCACCTAATTTCCATGGAAAACTAAGAAATCGAATAAAAATAGAAAATACCACCAATAGCTTAGTTTAGCTGGACGCGTTTCACAAAACCGGATTAAAATAAAAAAGCCGGGACCAAGGGGTGAAAGAAGCAGGAAAAACAAAGGTAGAGGAGGCGTAGCAGTAATGAAAAAATAACACAAAACAAACTTTGTTGCCATTGTTACTGGCGGCTCGGCGGCAAGTTTTTTACCTCCTTTTCTCTTCTCTCCTTTCTCCCATGAATAAAAATCGATTTTCCAACCCCCCAAAACGAAAAGAAGAAGAGGCACGCATTTAGAATAAAAACAAAAAACGGCAAGCTAATGCACTTGGCCCTCTTTTTTGCGCGCACAGACAAAATCCACAACAACACTAAGTTAACGAGCAAAGGCTATGTGGAGAGATTGTCCAAGCCAATATAGAACGCCAGTGAAAGGCATTAACAAGCAAATGTCGGCCTGTCTGTCTCTCCGCCCGTCCTGAGGTTACTTTTTTTCTCATCGTAACAACAACGCAATGACGACGATGAAGGCGACGAAGGGTCAAACAGAAAACATGCCGACCCCGTCTATCAGCGGAAAAAATCGCTTAACCGATTACTAAAAATAAAAACAAAAACAACGAGAAAGCATGGAAGAAATAGAACAAGTATCTGTTGTTAAGATCCGGTGTGGCGCAAAAAGATTGGGGGATGCAGGGCAGAGGAAAGGCAGGGTGGTTGAATTTTTGCCTCGCGGCCGGCTAGTTAATGGAAATTGGAATCACCACCACTTCTACGTTACAAAACAAAAAAAAAGAAAAAGGTTTGATGGATACACATCATCATCGTCATTGCAATCGCCAGCGACTGGAAACGTGGCCGATATGGATGATGATTGACGGTGGTGGTGGTGGCGTTGATGGCCCACTGAACATGGCTTGATTGTTGTGACGACGACGACGACGGCCAACAAACGATATTTGATTTTTGACTTAATGACCAGAAGGAAGGAAGCTAAAAATATGGAAGTTATGTTGGGAGGTGCAAAAAAATAGGCCTAAAAATTATTTGAAAAAAAAGGATTCTGTAGCCAGGAGGCCTTTCCTGTGGAGACAGAAGACCTCTTCTGTGGAGACAAAAGACCTCTTCTGTGGAGACAAAAGACCTCTTCTGTGGAGACAGAAGACCTCTTCTGTGGCCAGAAGACCTCTTTTGTGGAGACAGAAGACCTCTTCTTCTTTAAGACATAGATGAGGTCTTCTGGACACGGAAGAGGTCTTCTGAACCCGGAAGAGGTCTTCTGGACACAGAAGAGGTCTTCTGGACACAGAAGAGATCTTCTGGACACAGAAGAAGATCTTCTGGACACAGAAGAGATCTTCTGGACACAGAAGAAGATCTTCTGGACACAGAAGAAGATCTTCTGGACACAGAAGAGGTCTTCTGGACACAGAAGAGGTCTTCTGGTCACAGAAGAGGTCTTCTGGTCACAGAAGAGGTCTTCTGGTCACAGAAGAGGTCTTCTGGTCACAGAAGAGGTCTTCTGGTCACAGAAGAGGTCTTCTGGTCACAGAAGAAGATCTTCTGGACACAGAAGAGGTCTTCTGGACACAGAAGAGGTCTTCTGGTCACAGAAGAGGTCTTCTGGTCACAGAAGAGGTCTTCTGGTCACAGAAGAGGTCTTCTGGTCACAGAAGAGGTCTTCCGGTCACAGAAGAGGTCTTCTGGACACAGAAGAGGTCTTCTGGTCACAGAAGAGGTCTTCTGGACACAGAAGAGGTCTTCTGGACACAGAAGAGGTCTTCTGGTCACAGAAGAAGTCTTCTGGACACAGAAGAAGTCTTCTGGACACAGAAGAGATCTTCTGGTCATAGAAGAGATCTTCTGGTCATAGAAGAGGTCTTCTGGAAACAGAAGAGGTCTTCTGGTCACAGAAGAAGAGGTCTTCTGGACACAGAAGAGGTCTTCTGGTTACAGAAGAAGAGGTCTTCTGGTTACAGAAGAAGAGGTCTTCTGGTCACAGAAGAGGTCTTCTGGACACAGAAGAGGTCTTCTGGTCACAGAAGACCCGAGTTTTGTTTCTTAAGATTTCATATTATAGGATCTCTTAATTGATTTTGACCTTTAAAAATCTCCAGATCTGAGAGTCGACTCTGAGAGTCATTGGCTTACATTTATGGAAAATATTGGGTCCTCATGACCACTTTTTAGATTCAGATATTCTCAGATTTCAGATTCTCATTGAAACCTTGTTTAAGGACCTTTTGGATCGATATCCCTTGCAAGGGTTCATATTCTACTTTCACACTACACATGTCACCTTAACGCTGAGGATGCATCTATTTTCAAGGATTCCCATGGGGACCTTGAATATTTTCAGCGGGGGATCGATTTCTCCTCAAAAAAAAAACATTCATACATCAAACTATTGAAAAAATTACATTTCCTGATGTTACTTTCCTCTTGAGGTATCTCCTGGGAACGTGGTATCCCTCGGAACCCCTTTTGACCCATTTTTTTCTTCAAGTTCGTTTTCTTATTTCAAAAAAAAAAATATGATCTTGTCTCAAAACTTACCCTGGCAATCATGTGTACATCCCCGTCACCTCCCTGCTGGACACCGGTGCGTATCTTTTTGTTCTGCGGCCCATCGCTGACCACCAGAACGCCCCCTCCGCCGCCGGCACTGCCATTGGTTGAGCCGTTATAGGGCATGATAGCCTTGGGTATGTTCGGGTCGCTGGGTTGGTGAATTATTTTGACGGCTGTGTTGAACAGTTTGTCGGTTATGAAATTCGGCTCCTGGGTAATTTTTGCGCTTTGCTCGCTCGCTTACGCACACAAACGGACCACGCTAAATGGGTTAGCAGTTGGGGGGTCGGTTTGTGTAGGTGGTGTATTAGAGAGGGCGTAGAACGGCGACGACGACAACGACGTTTACGGCGAAGACGACGATAACCACGAAGGACGATAAGGACGATTTGATAATCTAAGGACGCGAACTTTTAAAGCCTTAGAATGACGCGAATCAAGCGAATTGGGTTCCCCGGAGACGACGATGTAACCGTGATTAAATACCAATTGGATAACGAGCGTTTTCGAATGCGAGTTCCTTCAATTGGGAGGTGTGTTGTTTGGGTTCCTGTTCCTGTTGTTGTTGTTGGATTTGTGTTGAATGTTTGCTTCCTCTTCTTGCCACTTGCGGTCTGTGGTGTAAATATTGGTTGTTGTTGTTGTTGATGTTTTTCTTTGGAACTGAATCAGCTGTTTAGGCTCTGCTCATTTGTTTGTTGTGTGATGGTGGTGGTTGTTGTAGTTATTGTTGTTGTTGTTGGTTTTCAAACAAAATGAAAATCGTAGCGTAGCCAGGCCGGAAAAGAAGAAAAGAAAGAAAGAAAAATTAAATTTAAGAAAATTATTAAATTTTTCGGTTATTGAGTTGAAATAACTTAAGTCAATATTTATGTTTATTTTAGTTTTTGGTTTCTTTGTTATTGTTGTTGTTGTATTTTTTTGTTTTGACTTTGTATCTGTTTCCTAGAATAGTTGTCGGAGCATGGGGACACATATTAATACTATTGGTCAATCTCCCCTCCCTTTCCACCACTTTTTTCTTCACTCCCTCAATCTTCTCTTAATTTTGTTTTAATTACAACAACTTGTGCCGGCAATGGCAAGTGCAATGGCTCTTTCCGTGTTGTTGTTGTTGTTATAAACAAAAATTATAATTACTGGCGTGTCGTCATCACCATCATCATCATCGGCATCGGCATCGACATGGACATCAGTTTCGACTTTTGTTTGTTTATTTTTACCATGCCAATCAAACCCCTTATTCCCAACACCCCTGACCCCCACCCCTTCTCGCCTTCTTTTTTCCTTCTATTTTCCGCTCAAACTTTCCCAAAGCCTCTATCAACTGACGCACATTATTTTTCATTTTTTGTTGTTGTTGCTGCAATTAGATAAAAAATTTTCCATATTGTAGTTGTTGTTGTCTTTATCGTAAACAAATATCGAAATAATTGTTTCTGTTGGGTAGTGAATTATTGAAAATCCATTTAGGCCCGGCAAAATACACTAATCAACTAAAAAATGAAAATTGTTTTTCCGTTGTTGTTGTTTTGTGCTTTGTTTTCCCCCCATATTCTTGGCCTAAATATGCCACCACCCCGTTGCTGTTGCTGTTTTCGGTTTCTATCCGAAACACGCAATGGCCATAGTTTTATGCTATGCCATCCAGCCAGTCGGCCAGCCTGCCTACAGAAGGTTGTATAATTTTTCTCCTATCCTCTGCTTCTTCTACTTCTTCCCAATTTTCCATATCGTTTTGTTATGGTGTACCAGTAGCAGAACTAGGATTGCCATTATCGGAAAAATAATTATCAATGGCGAAAGTAAAGGTTAGCATAAAACAAAGTTACAGTAAGTGACAAAAGTGAGTACATGCATTGTCAGGAGATTTCAAAAAAGAAATTTGAAGATTTTTTTTTTGTTTAAAAAAGGACTAAAAGAGAAAAAGAAGAAATGGTTCATAATTCTGAATGGCTACAATCGAAAAAATCCTTAGGTCCGGGTCAAATGCAAATATAGCATAGAAGTCCCCTCTCTACTTCCATTAGGTCCTTCCTAACACACCTGGTAGTTCGATCCACCATATGATGATTGAGATGAGATAAACAAGAAATCAATGACAGTCGAATATGGCTATATCGACTCCAAATGATCAAAAACCGATTTAATCCAAAGAGACAGCTAAGGCTACAAAGCAGAATATATTTTCGTGATAGTCTTCCACTTGTTATGAACTCAAAACCCCAAATTTCAGACCATTCAGTTAAAAAATTAGGTTATGAAGCCAGAAAGTAACCACAATCTATTGGGGCCCAAATGGTTGCATGAAATTTTTCAGCAAAAGTCTCAGAGACCAGAACAGTTCATTCTTTGCGAAAAAGTTAATTTTCGGAACTTAAGATTTGTTGTACCTGGAAAAAAGTTATTTTATATCGGGAAAATATGACGCGCATCGCCGAAAAGAACTGCAAAAATTTGTGGATTAACTTCGATATGATGCATCCTAATTTAAAAATCTATGCGGATTAATTCCTTGTTTTAACTTCATGTGAAAACTTGACTTCTGATCAAATCGGCTATTTTCAAACTCCAAATTATTTTAGAATTTCCGTCGGCCTAAATTTGGGCCTATGGATTCTATTTTTAATGACAAATATCCTATGTACAAAATCAATGCCGGTACAATTTAAAGATAGACGGGCATGTCGCCCTGATATATTGGCATAGAAATTTATGCTGATCGTGAATATACATATAGATACGTATGAGGAATCCGGTGAATATCTCTAGATTCAATTTAATAAGCCCTCCTCCTTTCTGGTACATGGTATAAAAATTAGAGGTTAAGCAGTTGAAAAAAACTAAGATCTAACATCCAATTCAAAAATTCTGCAGTCCAGAAGATTTAGAATTACTGTTTCCTTCCAAAAATGTCTATTTTCAATCGATCGTATCTTCTTGATGTAAAAGCAAAATTGTATAACAATCTCTGATGATTGGAGGGAGTAGTTTATTAACAACTTATTTTTCGTGAGCATTGTGGGTCTAAATTTTGAATTAATCAACTTCTCTGGCCAAGAAATGTGAGAATTATTTTTATATCCTCAGCCATATGTCTGCTCATCAAAATAACGGCTTTAGACACTAAGTCTCTTTATAGGAAATCCGTTTCAGGACATTTGGAGACGAGATAGCTGTGTCCGTCCGATCATCTGACTGGCTGGTGAGCACGATAGCACTTCGATGTCGGAGATAGGCAATATCCATCCACACCTTGTGGTACTTCTCCCACAAAAAGGTCAACATTTTCAAGGAATATAAATTATATTCTAGAAAAATAAATACTCATTCCTTTCCAACTTTCCAATTTCTAATATTTGTATCATTGCCTAAATGGACAATATCGACCAACTCTTTCTAGTACCTCCTTTAATGATTAAAATTTTAAATGATTATATATGTGCAAAAGTAAAGTCAGATTGTCTTCAGATTTCGATCTTCCCAATATTTCTAAATCATGTGTTATGAAGGTAAAATAGGGCAGACCACACCCTCTGGTACCTCCTCCTTAACGAGTCAAAATTGTGAATAACCCTCACTCTCATAAATTGCGATATAAACTTCCGATTTTTTCATATTTTGCAAGTCCCAATATTTAAACCAAAACCACTCCTTCTGGTAAAGAAGTTACATCAAGGAATAGTTGTATTTCAAACTGCAATAATCTATATTTATCGGGTCGTAAGATATTTTTGTAATCCTAACAATAAATGTTGGTAGTAATGAAAAATACATCAGGGAAAAATCGCAAGAAGAAAAATCCCGGCTAAAAATGATAATATTCACTTCGACATCAAAAGGTTGTTTTTTTTTCAGATGGAAATCATGGTAGAGTCGATTTTAATCTATGAATCTGTTTCTATGATGGATAATTAATAAATATTTCCTACTCCCAAAAAATAATATTTTACCCTCAGAGAATTGAAAATTCTCTTTAAAAACTATCCTCAGGAATTTTAAATGGTTCTCAGGCCCTATTTAGTTTTAAACTTGCAATTTGTCGTAAGGAATTATTTTAGAGATTTTTTTTTTTCATACAACTTCGAAATGTCCACATAATTTTTCAATCGTCGGACATGGAGACTAAGGTGATTTCAAACCTAAAACATAATATTTGTATCAAACTTAGATCAGTTGCGAAAATTGACAAAATGTAGAACTATTCCTTCAAGTACCTTATTCTAAACTATGGTCAATATAAGACCCGTTCAAGAAATGTATAACATTTATCGTACTGGACATGTCAAATGGTTGCAAACATGTATTCGTGGGTTGAAAATATTTACCTGGGTGCAAACTAACCAATATTTTCTAACTTGCCTTCTTAATTCTTGTATAAGAATTACGAATCAAAGAGTGCTCAAAAATCCTTACTGGGACTATAAGATTTCAAAATTCTCAGATTATTTATACCAAATCCTGCAAATATTTGCAATCTCATATTCGATTCTTTGCCAAATGGACCTCCAACCCCGATTTCTCAAACTTATATGCTGATATTAAAAACCTTAAACGAGGACCAAACTGTGGCATGTATGGATTGCCCATAAAACGCATCTTCCCAATATCTCTTAATTGTTTTAATAAATGCTTAGATCCGATTCGGAAAATATTTCTTTCAATATTAGGTCGAATGTTGAAATTCTACTATGAAAATGTTTCTGGTTCTCGATACTTAACATAATATTTGAAAATCTTTGGCATCCCTGAAAAGAAAATGGCAGGAAAAACTTGTTTGCACCAGCAACGAGATACCATGCTGCTACCACCTCTGCTGTTGCTGATTCTGCCGCTCTACTCAAATAAATGGCAAAAGCAAAGTCAATGGCAAGCGAGAAAACACCCCCATTTGGTTGGCTGTTGTTACTGATTTTTCGGCAAAGAGCAGGATGCTTGACTGTGAAACGGTATCATCAAAAAAAAAGAAAGAAGATGGAAATTGGAATTTTCACCTTGTTGGTAAAATTCAATTCAGAAAAGGAAAACAACACAGCGGCTGATTGGGAAAATCCAGCAACAAAATCTAATAAGAAAAATTGTTTGGGTTTTACTGTCCCTTGAAGAGAAAATGAAAGTTCCTGACAAATGAACAAAGGGTAGATGAATGAAAGGACCAACGGACGGACAGACAACCCTTAAAAATCTTTAATGTCCTATGCCATGCCGAGGAAAGGGAACAAAAACGGAAGCTTACAAAAGATTAGAGGATGAAACAGGGATGGAAAATTTGTGAATGCAATGAATGTGGAGAGGAGATGACGATGATGATGATGGCGATGAAAACAAATGAGGGAAAATTTCTTCCCTTTTGCCTTTGTCCCGCCGCTTTTTCCAAGGAATCATAGAAACTCAAACAGCCATGGAGTGGAAAAAATTGATGAAAATGAATGAAAAGAGAGGCAAACATTTGCAATTGTTGAAACACACACACACACAGGCACGGAAATATTAAACTTTTTCAACAGATTTTCACATTATTTTGTAGCTCAGAATAATTCACATTTTTCTTGGTTTTTAAATTGTTTCAATTGCATCTCAAAAATTTAATTATTCTTCACTGTTTTGTTCACTATTCTTGATTGTTAATATTTTCCGATTTTGGCAGATTTTTTTCTCTTGGGCTTTTCTTTGCTCACTTTTC